TTTGCCTGTTACTCCAGGTGTTTTTTGACCTCCTACTTTTGCATTCCAGTCTCCTATAATGAAAAGGACATCTTTTTTGGGTCTTAGTTCTAGAAGGTCTTGTGGGTCTTCATAGAACTGTTCAACTTTGACTTCTTCAGCGTTACTGGTCAGGGCATAGACTTGGATTACCATGATATTGAATGGTTTGCCTTAGAAACGAACAGAGATCATTCTGTCGTTTTTGAGGTTGCATCCAAGTACTGCATTTCAGACTGTTTTGTTGACCATGATGGCTACTCCATTTCTTCTAAGGGATTCCTGCCCACAGTAGTAAATATAATGATCATCTGAGTTAAATTCACCCATTCCAGTGCATCTTAGTTCACTGATTCCTAGAATGTCGACATTCACTCTTGCCATCTCCTATTTGACCACTTCCAAATTGCCTTGATTCATGGACCAAACATTCCAGGTTCCTATGCAATATTGCTCTTTACAGCATCAAACCTTGCTTCTATCACCAGTCCCATCCACAACTGGGTGTTGTTTTTGCTTTGACTGCATCCCTTCATTCTTTCTGGAGTTATTTCTCCACTGATCTCCAGTAGCATATTGGGCACCTACCGACCTGGGGAGTTCATCTTTCAGTATCCTATCTTTTTGCCTTTTCATGCTGGTCATGGGGTTCTCAAGGCAAGAATACTGAAGTGGTTTGCCATTCCCTTCTCCAGTGGACCACATTCTGTCAGAACTCTCCACCATGACCCGTCCGTCTTGGGTGGCCCCACACGGCATACTTTAGTTTCATTGAGTTAGACAAGGCCGTGGTCCTGTGATCAGATTGGCTAGTTGTCTGTGACTGTGGTTTCAGTCTGTGCGCTCTGATGCCCTCTCTCAGTGCCTACCGTCTTACTTGGGTTTCTCTTACCTTGGACCTGGGGTATCTCTTCACGGCTGCTCCAGCAAAGCGCAGCCGCCGCCTCTGACCTTGGCTGTGGGGTAGCTCTTCTCGGCTGCGCTTCTGCGTCTAATCAAAACCGTGAAATTACACCAGTTGTAAAAACTTCAGCTTTTGGTCAATACAAACGCGCCCTCTGCTGGTCATATAGTGCTCTGTCCCAAATTTCAAAACTGGTGAAGAGCAGTGAAATCCGTCCCATGAGACAGATTTTACTGAGCCTGCGAAGTTAGGGAAAGAAACCCTCACAGAATTCCTCTTAATCACAAAAATACTTAAATCAGTTCCCACTCTCTGTTAATATTTACATGTTATCCAAGACAAAATAAATTCCAGCTACCAGCCCAATCAACCTTTCCAGTTTCTTCAGCAACCTCGTACATTGACAATTTTGTCCCCACTGCAAAGTTTGGAGGTTAATGTATGAGACAGTAGATGCCATCCTTAACATTTGGGAATAGCAGAAAGGAACCCAAGTTCCTCTGCATGGCAGTGTGGACACCACTGAACACTGAAAAATGAGTAAACTATTACTAGTGTTAAGGGAATAATGCCGGTGGAATAACAGGCAAATTTTTCTTTTCAAACCTTTTTTTGAAGTTACCAGTTCAATTGCTCAGTCGTGTCCAACTCTTTGCAACCCCGAGGACTGCAGCACACCAAGCTTCCCTGTCCATCACCAGCTCTTAGAGCCTGCTCAAACTCATGTCCATTGAGTCAGTGATGCCATCCAACCAGCTCATCCTCTGCCATCCCCTTCTCCTGCCTTCAGTCTTTCCCAGCATCAAGGTCTTTTCCAGTGAGTCAGTTCTTCATATCAGGTAGCCAAACTACAGGAGTTTCAGCTTCAGCATCAGTCCCTCCAATGAGTATTCAGGGTTGATCTCCTTTAGGATGGACTGGTTGGATCTCCTTGAAGTCCAAGGGACTCTCAAGAATCTTCTCCAACACCACAGTTCAAAAGCATCAATTATTTAGCACTCAGCTTTCTTTATGGTCCAACTCTCACATGCATACATGACTACTGAAAAAACCATAGCTTTGACTACATGGACCTTTGTTGCCAAAGTAATAACGTCTCTGCTTTTTAATATGCTGTCTATGTTGGTCATAGCTTTTCTTCCAAGGAGCAAGTAACTTCTAATTTAATGCATGCAGTCACCATCTGCAGTGATTTTGGAGCCCAAAACAATAAAGTCTCTCACTGTTTCCATTATTTCCCCATCTATTTGCCATGAAGTGATGGGACTGGATGCCATGATCTTAGTTTTCTAAATGTTGAGTTTTAAGCCAACTTTTTCACTCTCCTCTTTCACTTTCATCAAGAGGCTCTTTGAAGTTATGATATCTTTAAATAAACATAATTGAGGAAAAATCAATTAATTCATGCAAGAATCTACTGCTCAAAGAGAGAGGGGATTGAATATTAGAGTCTTCCTTTCAAAAAGTTTTTTTTAACTTTTTTAATTATTTCATTTTTCTTTGTTTTACTTTGTGCTAGTATCCATCTTCCCAGCTAAAATTTAAGCTTCCTGAGACCAGGGTGTGTATCCATCCTACTCACCACTATATTCCCAGCACCCAACATAATGACCATCATGTAGCAGGTATTTAATTAACATGGGATAAATGAAGGAATGAATGACCATTTCTTTGGCATGTAAATTGGTACAAATTTTCTGGGAAACAATTCAGCAATAGACATTTTACCCTCAAGACTGTACATTCTTCAATAGTAATATATGTGGACAGAGAATTAAGTCCTTTGGTAAACAGAAACATTCCTTATAAGCATATGCTATATAAAGTACATTTTAGTTATAAAAATTTAAAACAACTTGAATTTTAAAAGTTACATATTTGGTTGAGTCAATTATGGTATCCATATGATACAATGCCATGGTGGTATTAAAATCATTTTTAGAATATTTAATGATATGGGAGATTCTAATAACATAAAAGTAGATTTGAATTATATGTATTATTTCATTAACTTATTAAAATATGAGTATATATTTACTATATATGCATGAAAGTATATACACCAAAATATTTGCTGTAGTTGTATGTAGGTAGAGGGATCATGAGTCAGGGTTTTTTAGGTTTTGGGGGTTTTGTTGTGGTGGTGGGTTCTTTTTTTTTTTTCTTGGTTCTTGATTTTAGCAAGTGCCAGCACTGTTTTAAACACTTTATTTGTATTAATATATCTTAACTTTGTTAATATAACTTAACTTTGTTAAGCTTTTTAAACACCCTTATAATAAATTACACCTATTTAAATTGTACAACTAGATAAATTATCTTTAAGTGTTAAATATTGCTATTTTTCTATAAAGATTTTAATGTAATCAACTTCACTTTTCCTTAGATTTTAATTATGTATAATTATTTGGTAGAATATAAAATTATTCAACCATCAATTTCCTTCTATAGAAACATTAAATATTGCTATGATTTGAAGGGGCAGCTTCTAGTTTTCTGGAGATATAATTGACATATAACATTGTAATTAGTTTAAAAGGTACCATGTAACAATGTGATACATATTGCAAAATGGTTACCACAGTTAACATCAGTTAGCACACATAGTTACTTTTTTTTCTTGTGATGAGAACTCAAGATCTACTGGGTAAATTCTGACACCTGCTTATACTCACGAAACTCACCAGTCAAGACAAACATTTCATCTTTTCCAAATGATTCTTCTGCTTCCAGCCTCTAACACCAGTCTCTCTCATTTCCAAACCAATCTGCTTTCTGTCACCATAGACTGGTTTTCACTTTCTAGAGTTTATATAAATGGAAGCATACCATATATACTATTCTTTGTCTGGTTGCTTTTACTCCACATAATTCTTTTGAGATTCATCCATATTGTTGAGTGTATCAATACTTCCTTTCTACTTGCTACTGAGTAGCATTGCATTGTATGTATATACTAGCATTTTATCCATTCACCTGTTGATGGGTATGTCGGTTGTTGCAAGTTTTTGACTATTGCAAATAAAGTTGCTATGATATGGTATATTTAACATTTAATTTTTCAAGAAATGGTCAAACTGTTTTCCTAAGTGATTGTACCATTTTACATTCTAACCAACAGAGAATGAGCATTCCAATTCCTCTGGATCTTTGTTAATTCTCAGTACAGTCAGTCTTTTTAGTCATTCTAATAATTATGTGTTGAGGGGAGGGTTCTTATTTATACTTGTGTTTTCCTATTTTCTTCAATGAAATATATCTTTCATAATTAAAAATTGTTTAAAGAAACTAAAATAAAAAGTATCCTAAAAAAAAAAAGTATCCTAGTCTAATATGAAGTTAGTCTGGAGACTCTTCTCATTCTAAAAACTACCCAATATGGTCTTCAGAGAACCCAGCAATAGCTGTATAGCCTGCATAAGCCTTCCTCAAAATATAACAATTTTTTAATCAATTTTCTTTTCAAGGTTATAACCACGCTGGGGTTTTAAGAAAAAATTTAAACACATATAAACCTCTTTAACATATTATTTCCTCTTTCTGTTTTCTCTTCCAGCTCTTATTCATCTACACACATTTTATAGTGCTTTAACACACAATTCTATAGTTTACTATTTTTCACTTGTCGTTATACCGTATTTTCCATACTGCTGATTTATCTTTTCAACCATAATTTTAAATGTCAAAATAATGCATTGAAAATTTCCCGTTTGGCTGTTTCCAATTTTTTATTATTGATGATGTTGTAATGAACAACTTTGTACAAAAAGCTTGTTTCTTCTTTTAAATTATTTCCTTATGATAATACCCAGGAGTAAGATTCCTGATCAAAGACAAGAACATTTTTCTAGATCTTGATATGTACTGTCACATCGCCTTCCCAATGGGGCTTACTGATGTTAATGTCACTTGCCACGTGTCAGCTCTAGTTTCTGCGGCATTTGCGAACTTACCAAGTATAACATACCATATTGTCCTAATTGGCATGCTGTTGACTGCTCAGCAGGTAGACGTTTTCTCCTGTCTGGGATCCCGCCTGCTATCCTTTGCTGACTCAGGATGCTCTTTGTCTTCGCAGACCCAGTGCCGAGGGATATGACCCTTGACCCTCTTTGTGCTTCCCTGGATGAGCACATGCAGACCCCTGAGGCAGACACTGTCCAAAAGGTGTAAGTATTCAAAGCCATCCTAACATGGGCTTCTCAACTTTTGTTTTTCTTTGCTTTTAATGAACTTCATTTCTGTTTTTTTCTAAGCGACATAAAGATTCTCAGCTAACCAACCACAGGCTCTGGCAGCCAGAATTAAATTACTGGCTAAGAAACAAAGATTTGGGGGAAGGATTATATTGTGATGTGTTTCCTACTTAAACCTGTTCTTTGGCTGGGTGGGTGAGAAGCAAAGTTGAACTCAAAACCGTGTGGAAGCCACTGTCTCCATTTTTCCACGTCTGAGCCGGCCATGCCCAGAAAGCAGAGGTCTGTCAGCTCAACCTTGGTTTCTCCTCTCAGCATTCACTCAGCCCTGGGTAAAATCAATAATACCACTAATATTAATAAATTGCTGAGATGTATTAAGTGCTTCCTACGTGCTGACTATGTGCTATGAGCTCATCAGCCAGCAGCTCAGCCAGTCAGGCTTAGTCACTTGACCTAAGCCTTGCTTGGCAGCAGCGGCTGGAACGACAGCCTCTTGTGACCTCCCATGAGCCTCAGTGATTTGTGAATCTTCCCTCACCTGCCTTGTGGTATAAGGATTCCCTCCTGGGTCAAAAGAAGGCTGGGTGTTCCCTAGGAATAAAGAAGGACGGGCACTTGGGTGGTGAGACAGCTATCTGAAGAATTCCACTTTTTAACTTTTGTATTTCATCTTCTCCAAAATGGATTTAAACTGCTTATAATAATCCCCCCTCCCGCCTATCTACACACACACAAAAAAGACTAGATAATACCCCCCCAAAAAATTTTTTTTAATCTGAGGAAAAGAAAAAATATCAACAATCTCCAACAAGTGACTAAAGTTCAGGCTTTCAAAAAAGAGAAAACTGAAAAATAGAAAACTTCAGACTTTCAGACTGAATGTGAAAGCAAAAAAAGCCAAAAAGGAGCAACACAATCAGGTTTTATGGTGCTCATTTGCAGCATGCTTATTCCTCAGGGGAAATGAAGCTTTTCCTACCACTAAATTCTAAAGGATACTTCTATGGGTTTTTATAGAGTGACACTGAATGATTTAAAGACTCGTATATTTATAGGAAATTCCATTTACCTCATTCGACAAGTATTTCTCAAGTTTCTATAGTAAGGCTCTGTACTATCCCAGCACAGTAAATATAATACTGATTTAGCTAAAAAATAAAATATTCAGGACCAGGCCTGGCACAACAGTAGCTGCTGCTGCAGCCATTGCTGAATCCATGTGGTTCTGTCGTAGTGACATTTTTACCTGGAGAACATTAAGTCAACTGCCCTCCAGGCACATGGCCCGTGACAGTGGTCCTACACAGGATCATACTCATACACCAGTGACCTTTGGTGGCTGAATCTGATCAAGAATAGAATTCAGAGGGTGTAAAAAACGGATATATAGGTTCATGTTCTGATGACAATCTTTCTTAAAGGTCACTTTTTCTTCAACTAAGCCACTGATAAAAGACACTTCAGCCTGAGAGAACCCCAAAAGTGAAGGCTAAACTTTCTAATCTCCTTTATTAAGGGATGTGTTGAGAAAAAGAGGGCTAAGTGTGTAAAATGCCCACCACAGTGCAATGCCTGGCAGAACACAGTTGTTCAATCAGTGTTTGTTCATTTTCCCTCTTCCTCATTCACTAGTTTTTCTTTTTCTTTTTAATTGAGGTGTAGTTGATTTACGATGATGTTGAATGGTTTGCCTGGAAACGACCCAAGCTCATTCCGTCACTTTTGAGGTCGTACCCAAGTACTGCATTTTGAACTCTTCTGTTCTCTCTGAAGGCTATTTCTTCTAAGGGATTCTTGCCCACAGTAGTAGCTATAATGGTCATCTGAATTGCATTCACCCATTCCCGTCCATTGTAGTTCACTGAGTCCTAAGATGTCGATGCTCAATCTTACCATCTGCTACTTGACCACGGCCAGTTTACCTTGATTCACAGACCTAACATTCCAGGTTCCTATGCAATATTGTTCTTCACAACACCACACACATCCACAGCTGAGGACTGTTTCCGCTTTGGCCCGGCCGCTTCATTCTTTCTGGAGCTATTAGTAATTGCCCTCTGCTATCCCCCACGGCATATTGGACCCCTTCCAATCTGGAGGTCTAATCTCGGGTGTCATTTTTGCCTTTTCAAACTGTTCATGAGGTTCTCTAGGCAAGGATAGTGGAGTGGGTTGCCATTTCCTCCTCCTGTGGACCACATTTTGTCAGAACCTTCACTATGACCCCTCTGTCTTGGGTGGCCCTGCATGGCATGGCTCATAGCTTCATTGAGTCATGCAAGCCCCTTTGCCACGACAAGGCTGTGATCTAATTTCAGGTGAGCAGCAAAATGATTCAATAATACACAACTTTATTTTTCTGGTTCCTTTCCATTGTAGGCTATAACAAGGTATCATCTATATTTCCCTGTGATATACAGCAAATTCTCTTGTTTATTTTACATATAGTGGTGTGTACGCCAGAGTTTTTCTTATAGTTTGGTCCTGCTGTTTTACTTTTTCTCAAAGGAGCAAAGATTATAATGTGCACCATCGGCACAGAGGACTTCCAGGACGTGGGCCTGACTCACCAGAAGGGCTGGATCCTTTAGACACATCTTTTCTTCCAAGAGAAAAAGAAGGGAAGACTGAGCCAAGGCTGTTCAACCAGCAGACATCAAACAGCATCAGTAACGTGAGTGTAAAGACCTAGGTAGGCGCTTGGCCCAAAACCCCACCTGGAAGGTGCTCCCATCAGGGTCGCCATGTCCAGTTGTACAGACTGCTTACTAGACAAGGGCACCTGCAAAGGGGGGCAGTGAGAACTCAAATCCACTCTGTGGTTCACTCACCATGCCCTACATCCCAGTAATGGGTTGCATCTTTCTGAAGCATGGGGTACCCTTTTCTAATTTCTACAAAGTACCAGAAGAAAGCTTAGTTTTCCTACACTTTCATATCACTTCTGACATCAAATGTGTGACAGCTTTTCCCACATCAACCAATTCTTCAGTTCTCTGGACACCAACCAGGTCTATTCTGACGCTAACCACCAGGAATTAGCACAGTCCCCACAAGTTAAGGGCTCAGTCCCACACGCCTGTTCCACTTCAGCCACCAAGTCCCAGGTTGTCACCTGTACTTCTGATCAAAAAGCTATAAATAGGGGGTTCCTACAACCCATCCTCAGGTTCAGTAATTTGCTACAACAGCTCAGGAAACATTTACTTACTACTACTGATTTATTATAAAAGATATTTTAAAGGATACAGTAAGTCCCCTACATACGAATGATTTCAAGAGCATGTTCATAAGTTCAATTTGTTCATTAAATCCAACAAAGCTAGCCTAGGTACCCAGCTAACACAATCAGCTATATAGCACTGTACTGTAATGGGTTTGTAATACTTTTCACACAAATAATACATAACAAATACAGAAACAAAACATTTTTAATCCTCCCTAAAATTGGCCTGCAGTGCTGGAAACCTGGGTTTGATCCCTGGGTCAGGAAGATCCCCTAGAGAAGGGAATGACAACCCACTCTGGTATACTTCCCCGGAGAACCCCAAGGACAGAGAGGAGACAGGTGGGCTACAGTCCATGGGGTCCCAAAGAGTCAGACATGACTGAGCGACTAACACTTGGAAAGTAGAATAGTACAGTGCTGGCATACAAGGGCTGGCACTGGGTGAACATTCTGGTCTTGAAGTAAAGATACTGTACTACTCTAGTCAAATTGTAAAGTACGCAAAAGCACCACCATTTACAGAGGATGCGTGCATGTGACAATGTACGCCAGACACGTGAACTAACTTTTGTGACTGGACATGCGGAGGCATATCCACGTCTTTGGAGGCTCACAACTTGAAGGCCATATGTAGGGGACTCGCGGTCCAAGTGAACAGTGAGGAAGAGACACACAGGGCAAGGCCCTGACGGGTCCGAAGCACAGGTGCTCCTGTCCCCTTGAAGTTTGGAAAGGGCCACCCTCCTACCACATAGATGTGTTCACCAGCCCCGGAGCAGTCCAAACACGTTTGGTTAGAGCTTTTATGGGGGCTTCCTTACACAAGCACGATTGAGTAAGTCACTGGCAAATGGTGATTAATGCAACTTCTAACCCTTCTCCCCTCCTCTAAGGTAGTGGGAGGCAGGGGACTGAAAGGTCCAAGTTCTGATCACATGATTGGTTCTCCTGGTAACCAGTGCCCCATTTTAGGGGCTTTCCAAAATAATGATATTAACATAATCTCAGGTGTTGTTGAAAGAGGCTTGTTCATGAATAACAAAAGGCAATCCTTTCATGTTTATGCTCCAGGAGTTACAGGCATGTCTCTCATTTTATTGTGCTTCACTTTATTGACTTCACAGATGATGTGATTTTACAGACTGAACGTTCAAGCAAGTCTATCACCACCATTTTTTCCAACAGCAGTGGTTCATTTCATGTCTCTCTGTCACATTTTGATAATTCTCAAAATATTTCAAGCTTTTTCCTTATTATTGTGTTTGTTTTCATGATATGTGATCAGTTCAGTTCAGTTGCTCAGTCGTGTCCAACTCTTTGCAACCCAAAGGACTGGATACAGCATGCCAGGCCTCCCTGTCCATCACCAACTCTCGGAGCTTGCTCATATTCATGTACACTGAGTCACTGATGTCATCCAACTATCTCATCCTCTGTCGTCCCCTTCTCCTCCTGCCCTGAATCTTTCCCAGCATCAGCATCTTTTCAAATGGGTCAGTTCTTCGCATCAGGTGGCCAAAGTATTGGAGCTTCAACTTCAGCATCAGTCCTTCCAATGAATACCCAGGACTGATCTCCTTTTGGATGGACTGGTTGAATCTCCTTGCAGTCCAAGGGACTCTCAAGAGTCTTCTCTAACACCACAGTTCAAAACCATCAATCCTTTGGCACTCAGCTTTCTTTATGGTCCAACTCTCACATCCATATATGACTACTGGAAAAACCATAGCTTTGACTAGACACACCTTTGTTGGCAAAGCAATGTCTCTGCTTTTTAATATGCTGTCTAGGTTGGTCATAGCTTTTCTTCCAAGGAGAAAGTGTCTTTTAATTTCATGGCTGCAGTCATCATCTGCAGCGATTCTGGAGCCCAAAACAATCAAGTCTCTGTTTCCATTGTTTCCCCATCTATTTACCATGAAGTGATGGGACTGGATGCCATGATCTCAGTTTTCTGAATGTTGAGTTTTAAGCCAAATTTTTCACTCTCCTCTTTCACTTTCATCAAGAGGCTCTTTAGTTCTTCACTTTCTGCCATAAGGGTGGTATCATCTGTGTATCTGAGGTTATTTGTATTGATACTGAAGTGTGATCAGTGAGTGATATTTGATGTTACCACTGTAATTGTTTTGGGGTGTCATGAACCATACCCATATGAGATGTTGAATTTAATCAAAAATATGTGTGTTCTGACTGGTCCACCAACCAGCCACTCCCTCTGTTCCTTTCCTGAAGCCTCTTCCCAGCCCTCATTCCCTGAGACACGACAACACTGAAATCAGGCCAGTTGATAACCCTGCAGGGGCCTTTAAGTGTTCAAGTAAAAGGAAACGTCTCGTGTGTCTCACAATAGCAAACAACAACTCATGTTTCCCAATTTAAATCAAAAGCTACAAATGGTTAATGAGGAAGCCACATGGAAAGCTGAGAGGGGCCAAAAAAAGCTTAGCCTCTTGCACCAAACAGTTAGCCAAGTTGTGACTGCAAAGGAAACGTCCTTGAAGGAAATTAAAAGTGCTACTCCAGTGAACACATGAATGGTAAGAAAACAAAACGGGCGTATTGCTGCTATGGAGAAGGTTTAAGTGGTCTGGATGGAAGATCAAACCACCCACAACATTCCCATAAGCCAAACCCTAATCCAGAGCAAGGTCTTAACTTTCTTCAATTCTATGAAGGCTCAGAGAGGTGAAGAAGCCACAGAAGAATTTGAAGTGAGCAAATGTTGGTTCATAAGGTATAAGGCATGAAGCCATCTCGATAATATTCAGGTGCAAGGTGAAGCAGCAAGTCATGCAGAAGTTCCAGCTAAGATAATTAATGAAGGTGGCTACTCTAAACAACAGATCTTCAGTGTTGATGAACAGCCTTATGTTGAAAGAAGATGCCATCTTGGACTTTCAGTCTGGAGAGACGTCAGTGCCTGGCATCAAAGTTTCAAAGGACAGGCTGACATCATGTTAGGGGCTAATGGAGCTGGTGACTTGAAGTTGGAGCCCATGTTCACTTACCATTCCAAAAGTCCTAGGGCCCTTAAGATTTATGCTAAATCTATTCTGCCTGTGTTCTGTATGTAGAACAACAAAGCCTGGATGACAGCTTATCTGATAGCAATGTGTCTTACTGAGTATTTTAAGCCCACTGTTGAGACCTACTGCTCAGAAAAAAAGATCCCTTTCAAAATATTACTGCTCATTGACAATCAACTAGCCAGCCAAGAGTTCTAATGGAGATGGACCAGATTAGGGTTGTTTACATGCCTGCTAACACAACATTCTGCAGCCCACATATCGAGGAGTCATTTTGACTTTCAATTCTTATTTTTTAACAAATACACTTCTTAAGACTATAGCTGCCATACTTAGTGATTCCTTGGATGGATCTGGGTAAAGTCAATTGAGAACCTTCTGAAAAGTATTCACCATCCTAGAGGCCATTAAGAACATTTGTGGAGAATTCCCTGGTTGTCCAGTGGCTAGGACTCAGCAATTTTACTGCTGCGGCCCAGGTTTAATCCCTGGTAGGGGACCTAAGATCCCACATGCCTTGTGACATGGCAAAAAAAAGAAAAAGACAACATATTAAAAAGATCATACATTATGACCAAGTGGGCTTTATCCCAGGGATGCAAGGATTCTTCAATATCCACAAATCAATCAATGTAATACACCACATTAACAAATTGAAAGATAAAAACCATATGATTATCTCAATAGATAGAAAGCCTTTGAAAAAATTCAACATCCATTTATGATAAAAACCCTCCAGAAAGCAGGAATAGAAGGAACATACCTCAACATAATAAAAGCTATATATGACAAACCCACAGCAAACATTATCCTCAATGGTGAAAAATTGAAAGCATTTCCCCTAAAGTCAGGAACAAGACAAGGGGCCCACTCTCACCACTACTATTCAACATAGTTTTGGAAGTTTTGGCCACAGCAATCAGAGCAGAAAAAGAAATAAAAGGAATCCAGATTGGAAAAGAAGAAGTAAAACACTCACTGTTTGCAGATGACATGATCCTCTACATAGAAAACCCTAAAGAGTCCACCAAAAAATTACTAGAACTAATCGATGAATACAGTAAAGTTGCATGATATAAAATTAACACACAGAAATCCCTTTCATTCCTATACACTAAGAATGAGAAAACAGAAAGAGAAATTAAGGAAACAATTCCATTCACCATTGCAATGAAAAGAATAAAATACTTAGGAATATATCTACCTAAAGAAACAAAAGATCTACATATAGAAAACTATAAGACACTGGCAAAATAAATCAAAGAGGACACAAATAGATGGAGAAAGATACCGTGTTCATGGATTGGAAGAATCAATATAATGAAAATGAGTATACTAGGCAAAGCAATCTATACATTCAGTGCAATCCCTATCAATCTACCAATGGTATTTTTCAGAGAACTAGAACAAATAATTTCACAATTTGTATGGAAATACAAAAAACCTCGAATAGCCAAAACAACCATGAGAAAGAAAAATGGAACTGGAGGAATCAACCTACCTGACTTCAGGCTCTACTGCAAAGCCACAGTCATCAAGACAGTGTGGTACTGGCACAAAGACAGAAATATAGATCAATGGAACAAAATAGACAGCCCAGACATAAATCCACACACATATGGACATATTATCTTTGACAAAGGAGGCAAGGATATACAATGGAGAAAAGACAATCTCTTTAACAAGTGGTGCTGGGAACACTGGTCAACCACTTGTAAAAGAATGAAACTAGAACACTTTCTAACACCATACACAAAAATAAACTCAAAATGGATTAAAGATCTAAATGTTAAGACCAGAAACCATAAAATTCCTAGAGGAAAACATATGCAAAACACTCTCCGACATAAACCACAGCAGGATCCTCTATGACCCACCTCCCAGAATATTGGAAATAAAAGCAAAAATAAACAAATGGGACCTAATTAAAATTAAAAGCTTCTGCACAACAAAGGAAACCATAAGCAAGGTGAAAAGACAGCCTTCAGAATGGGAGAAAATAATAGCAAACAAAGCAATGGACAAAGAATTAATCTCAAAAATATGCAAGCAATTCCTGCAGCTCAATTCCAGAAAAATAAATGACCCAATCAAAAAGTGGGCCAAAGAACTAAACAGACATTTCTCCAAAGAAGACATACAGATGGCTAACAAACACATGAAAAGATGCTCAACATCACTCATTATCAGAGAAATGCAAATCAAAACCACAATGAGGTACTATTTCATGCCAGTCAGAATGGCTGCTATCCAAAAGTCCACAAGCAATAAATGCTGGAGAGGGTATGTGGAGAAAAGGGAACCCTCTTATACTGTTGGGGGAATGCAAACTAGTACAGCCGCTATGGAGAACAGTGTGGAGATTCCTTAAAAAACTGGAAATAGAACTGCCATATGACCCAGCAATCCTGCTGCTGGGCATACACACCAAGGAAACCAGAATTGAAAGAGACACGTGTACCCCAATGTTCATCACAGCACTGTTTATAATAGCCAGGACATGGAAGCAACCTAGATGTCCATCAGCAGACAAATGGATAAGGAAGCTGTGGTACATATACACAATGGAATATTACTCAGCCATTAAAAAGAATGCATTTGAATCAGTTCTAATGAGGTGGATGAAACTGGAGCCTATTATCCAGAATGAAGTAAGCCAGAAAGAAAAACACCAATACAGTATACTAATGCATTTATATGGAATTTAGAAAGATGTTAACAATAACCTGGTATGCAAGACAGCAAAAGAGACACAGATGTATTGAACAGTCTTTTGGACCCTGTGGGAGAGGGTGAGGGCGGGATGATATGGAAGAATGGCATTTACAAGATAACATGTAAATTATCATATGTGAAACAAATTGCCAGTCCAGGTTCAATGCATGATACAGGATGCTTGGGGCTGGTGCACTGGGATGACCCAGAGGGATGAGATGGAATGGGGAGGGAGGAAGGAGGAGGGTTCAGGATGGGGAACACATGTACCCCCATGGCGGATTCAAGTCAATGTATGGCAAAACCAATACAATGTTGTAAAATAAAATTAGTTAATTAATTTTTTTAAAAAAGAAAGAAAAAAGTGATTACAATTTGTTGAAGGCTCAGATGATAGTTAACAGTTTTTTTTTGCAATATAGCATTTTCAAATTCAGGTATGCACATTGTTTTTTTAGACATAATGGTACTGCACACTTAATAGACTACATAAGTAAACATAATTTTTATATGCCCTGGGAAACAAAATATTCATGTGACGTGCTTTATTTCCAGTATTCATGCTGTTGGGGTGGTCTACAACCAAACCCACACTATCTCTGAGGTACTTTTGTGCAAGGGTTTTCAGAGCTCTGTGTTAGAGGCTAGGTTCAAAGACCAAACATATATTTCTTATTTTGTCACAATATTACAGGTACTGAGGGGGTAGTCATGGCCTGACTGTGCCATCCCCTGTTAGGAAGAAACGCTATGCTGTCCCAGTCCTGGGGGAAAGGTAAAAACTGACATAGCCATGGTCATATGCTTGAAGTTTCCCAAAAGCTAGCAAATGATGCAACAGTGAATAAAGCTGGCTTTGATTTAAACTAGTTAATCATTAATTGTGGCAACAGCAATCAACAAAGGTCAAAACTGCTTCACTTTGATCCAGCTCTGTAGATGGTTTAGCATCAAAAAAGGGGTCAGGACTTCCCTGGTGATCCAGTGGTTAAGAATCTCCCTGCCAATGCAGGGGACATGGGTTGGATCCCAGTCCAGGAAGATCCCACATGTCACAGGGCAACTAAGCCCGAGCACTGCAACTACTGAAGCCTGCACTCTGAAGCCCAGCTCTGCAACCAGAGAAGCCACCCATGAGAAGCCCGCCCTCTGCAATTAGAGAAAAGCCTTTGTGGTAACAAAAATACAACTAAACAAAATTATTTTTTTATAATTATTTAAAAAGGGGGGCAGATCATCAAGTACGTTCTATTTCTCTTTTCTTCTGTGAAATTATACCTGAAATTATATCAAAGGCTGAATCTTAGGAGCTCTCCTCCGGCTCCACACTCTGTCTCATTCATTTGCTTCATCTGGAAAACATGTAAATTCCATTCTAAGCCGTTCTGTCTTGTTCAACATAATCTTCCTTGTCTTCTGTTTTTTATTTTTGTTTGTTGGCCATTGGGATCTTAGTTCCCTGACCGGGTATTAAAAGTGCTGAGTCCTAACCACTGGACTGCCAGGGAATGCCCCAAATAATCTCCTTTTGATTCTTTTTCCCTCTTGCTCTCTACTTTAACATGTTCCCTTTTCCTTAATTTTTCCTTTAGGAGATGGAGTTGATTGAAAAAACCAAGAGCAAGAAAAGGGCCAAGACAGATAAGTCCAAGGCACCCAAGAGGGAGAAAGAAGGAAAATTCGGTGAGGAAGCAGAGGCTGCTGTTGGTAAGGGACCATCCGGGAGAAGACACCTAATGGGAGCTGGAAGGTGTTATGGAGAATCAGCATGGATCCTACGGGACAAACTGTCTGTGCTGAGTCTCCTTGACGACCACAGCTAAGACGGTGTTGCGGCCTTACTTCATGTCAGTATCTTGGGAGACAGGGATAGAGGAAACTGGGGGAGCCTGGAGGCCTGTAATTAACAAGAAAGGAAATTATTATAATAATACCAACACCTACTAAATGAACATGCACTGTATTAGCGATAGCTTACGGTGAACGGTGTCGGATTCTTGATCTCCAAAGATTTAGCTTCGGGACCAGGGACCAGGCTTGATCACTCAAGAGCTTTTGTGTAGCAGAATTTTATCAAAGTATGAAAAGGGACAAAGAAAGCTTCTGACATAGACATCAGAAGGGGGATGGAGAGTGCCCCACTCGCTAGTCTTAGGAAGGGAACTGTATACTTTTTAAATTAGTTATTACAATAAATCCAAAGAATGTCTCAAGGTTGTAAAGATCTTACTAGACCCACTCCCATAATATATATTTTAAGATAACAGGATTAGTCAGAAGGTTTTCAGGAAGGAGAAACATGTCCTCAGGCAGGATACATTATTGTTATATAGTCCTTACTAAGGAATGTAGGAAAAAACATGTCCTTTCTTCCTCCTTGAGAATTCCAGGCCCCTGTCTCCTCCTTGAGAGCCCCAGATCCCTTTCTCCTCCTCGGGGACCCCAGACTTCTTATCAACCTGCCTAGGAACTGACTCTCTCATTAGGAGCTCTGCATTTATGATGTCATGAAATCCCCACATATCCTTAAAGCAAGCACCATTATTATATCATGTGGCGAGGCTGGCTGATTTGAGTAACATCAAACAGTAAAAAGCGCCGGACCCAGGGTCTGAACCTGCCATTTGATTCCAAACCCATGCCTCTCAAACTCTGCCTCTATGAATAATAAATAAGTCATAAGCTGAGAATTGGGCCATGGGAGCATTCGGGAAGGGGAAGTTTGCAGCATGCTCTGAACGGTTACTCCAGCTACTGTTGTTTCCTCTTGGTTCGCCGTGTTGCACCTCACAGGGAATTCAGGGGCCTATGCTTCTGAGGACCTTCTTTCTTTTTAAATTAATTTTTTTTTGGATTTACAGTTTGATTTACAATGTTGTGTCCTGAGGACTTTCTTTAACCTGAAACCTACACCCATTCTTTCCTGGCCATATGAAGACCCTCAGAACAAATCAAAAGCTATAGCAGCAAATGACACCGGATAGCCAGCCTCCTGGGCCAGACTTTTTTTTTAACTGAAGTGTAGCTGTGCCAATCTCTGGTCTACAGCAAAGTGACCCATTTATACAATATAGACACTCTTAATATTCTTTTCCATTGTGGTTTGTCACAGGATATTGAATATAGCCCCCTGTGCTATACGGTAGGACTCTGTTGCTTATTCAGATATATTTTTGAGGTCTGCTTTTTAAAGTCTTGCTGAGTTTACATTGCTGTAGCCTATAACTTGGGTAGCATTGGCAGGACTGGAAAAGGAAATACTTGTGGCCCCCAGTGGTGAATTTACAAAGAAGCCTTAGAGTATGGAAGGCTTAAACTGTGCCAGGTTACAAAGTTGCAACCTCAAGCTAGACTCTTGAGGCATGATTTTCCAGCTATGTCTATAGGTCTTCTTCCCTCCAGAGAGTCTTGTCCCCACCATAGGTCAGGGCGAATCAGAACTCTTTTAGTAGCAAGACTGCTGATTACAGTTGAGGAAGGTTCTCAAAGGGTGGTCTATGGGCTGTGCTGTGCTAAGTCGCTTTAGTCATGTCTGACTCTTTGTGACCCTATGGACTGTAGCCGGCCAGACTCTACTGTCCATGGGATTTGGGTTGCCATGCCCTCCTCCAAGGGATCTTCCCAACCCAGTGATTCAACCCACGTCTCTTATGTCTCCTGCACTGGCAGGCGGGTTCTTTACCACTAGCACCACCTGGGTCTATGGACTACCCTTCTCAAAATCTTTGGAGTGATAGCTAAAATGCAGATTCCTACAAAATCAGGGCGGGGCTCAGGTATCTGCACATAGATGATTCCATTGCACATGGGAGTTTTAAAGTCACTGAAAAGGATACAGAGACATGTTTATTAACTATGCCTCTATCCCCAATTGTTCTCTCCTAGGAAAGTCAAAGGAATCAAAAGTTGAAAAGAAATCAGAGCTAATTGCCAAAGGAAAAAAACCAGGAGCCAAAGGGAAAAGGACACGGAAGGAAGGGAATCTGGAAACAGCTGCGGAGCTGAGTGGGCCTGGTGTCATTAACTCTAAGGAAACCAAAGACCGCTCAGGCGGAGGCGTCTTCCGCTCAGGCTCTGGTGTAGAGGACCCTTGGCTCTCTTCCAAAGTTGAGGCTCCTGAGAGTCAAGTTTCTATAGATGGAAGGTCATCGCCCACCCAGACTGCAACTGTCCCTGCAAACACGGAACATGAAGGAGAGGGAAGCCACGAGGACCCTTCTAAGGTATGCTTCAATATTCTGGCCAGAGGGATCTCTGTCCTCACTGGTACAACTGCAAAGGTGGGGAAAACTGCCCCGGATTATATTAAACTGCCTAATGATTTTATTTATTTTACTTTGTTTTTTTCTGACCCTTTAAGGTGCCAGATCTGATAAAAGACACTAGGGTGGCAGAGTCCCTCTGAAATGAGGCATTCTGTGAGGCTCCCGAACTGCCAGGGCATGTAACCACCCCTCCTGAGCAGAAATGTGGCACAGCACTCATCTGTGAGAAGTACAGGCCTCACAGTTAAAAGGAAAGATGAATTCGGTCTCAGAGCCAAGCACATATCCTTGACTTAGCCCGGAGTTTATGCATGGCTTGCCTCCCCAACACTGTAGAAATTCCTCCATTCCTAATCTGCTTTACTGCGGCACAAAGCTGGGCCACAGGCAACTTACACACACATCTATCTGCCTCGTCTTTGAACACTGCAAATGTACCCACAGCTAAACCACTATGGTTTAAACTCACAGAAGTTACATGCAAATATGAACAATTCTGCCGAATTTCTTTTAATCTCTACAGCCACACTCGTGACCCAGGTATGATGCACCCCATTTCATACACCTACAAAAGCTAAGATTAAAGGGTTAGATGTTTGCTGCCATAAGTTGAGAAACCATCAAGTGGCAGAGTCAAGACTTAGATCTTTTGACTCCAAAAGAGCTCCAGAGCTCTTGCACTATTTTTAATTATTATGTATTTATTTTGTAGCCCCTGGTCTTCCAAAAAGGATTTCAGGAAGCTTTTTCCTTTCTAGTTCTGAGTCCTCCCAGCTGCCAAGGCTACAGCATTCTACTCTATACAGCAGATGAAACTTTTAAGCTGTGGGCAGAACTTTTCTGAGCCTGCTATAGACTCAGAATTTCTAAATTTATTGCCAGTACACAGTACTGCACTGCCTCTGCAAAGGCTAAATAAGATAAGGAAGCACCCACCCCATAGTGGATACACAGAGCTCCATGGGAGAGCAGCCATCCAGCGTTCCCCTCAGAGGCATACTTCTGACTGAGGAGGAGGCATCAGGAAGAACAAGAAACCTAAGGCACTCTTCACAGAAACCGAGAGAACTTTGCATTGGAAAAGTAGATTTGCATAGGATTAAATAGGAGTCTGACACATCTACACCTAAGACTGCTCCTCAAGGAGCCTTTAGCTAGAACCTGTGGTTCTGATCCCTGGCTTCACATTAGCATCACTGGAAGATGTTTTTTAAAACCAACAAGAAAAATAATATATTTTTAAGTAGGTGGTTGGGGTGGAGGAGAAGTTTCCTGGCAGTCCAGTGGTTAGGACTCTGTGCTTCTACTGCCAGCCAGGTTCAATCCCTGGTCAGGGAACGAAGATCCCACAAGCCTTGCTGCATAGCAAAAAAAAAAAAAAATTTAATGAAATTTTAAAAACCTGCCAAGGCCTCCCACCTAAGTATTCTTATTTCATTGGTCTGGGTGGGGCTTTGGCCTCAAGTAATCTTTAAAAGCTCCTTGGGTGATTATTAGACACATGTAGCAGACATGGTAGCTCAGCTGGTAAAGAATCTCCTGGGTCAGGAAGATCCCCTGGAGAAGGGATAGGCTACCCACTCCAGTTTTCTTGGGCTTCCCTGGAGGCTCAGATGGTAAAAAATCCGCCTACAATGTGGGAGACCTGGGTTTGATCCCTGGGTTGGGAAGATCCCCTGGAGGAGGGCATGGCAACCCACTCCACTGTTCTTGCCTGGAGAAATCCATGGCCAGAGGAGCCTAGCTGGCTACAGTCCATGGGGTCGCCAAGAGAAGGGATGACTAAGCGACTCAGCACAGCACAGCGGGCATTATGCAGGCAATTGCACTGTTTGAGTTAATTCTGGTAACAGCCAGCCAAGACGAAGACAGTATCAGACAGAGTAAGCTGTTACCCTTGAATTCTGAAGCAAGTAAGAGAGAGACATAGATCCTGGTCAGTCAGAGCCCAGAGCCCGGGCCAGAGGTAGCGGAGTTTGGACGACTGTGGTCAGAGTGTGGAAACCACCTTATCTCTGATGAGAGGCCATGTGGTGGGAGTGGAGGGGGGCGCGCTGCCAGAGGAGGTCACCCGCGATCACTGATCACTGATCACTGACGACACGCGGGCTCCTCAGGCCTTCCTCGTCAAGAAGGAACGAGAGAAGGCTTCCCGGGACAGGCTGCGAGCAGAACGGGCCGAGATGAGGCGGCTGGAGGTGGAGAGGAAGAGAAGGGAGCAAGAGGAGCGGCGGCGGCTGGAACAGGAGCAGCTGGAGAGGGCGGAGAGGATGAAGGAAGAACTGGAGCTGGAGCAGCAGCGCCGCGCGGAGGAGACCCGGTGGGTGGAGAGGCCGTGGCCACGGCTGTGCAGGAAGCAGGAGACAAGTGGGGCTGACCTCCTCTGGGCGTACATTGGCTCTGAGGCTCATCGTTGCTGTTCAGTTGTTTAGTCGTGTCTGACTCTTTGCGACCCCATGGACTGCAGCACGCCAGGCTTCCCTGTCCTTCACCATCTCCCAGAGCTTGCTCAAACTCATGTCCACTGAGTCGGTGATGCCATCCAACCATCTCGTCCTCTGAGGTCCCCTTCTTCTGCCTTCAATCTTTCCCAGCATCAAGGTCTTTTCCAACGAGTCCATTCTTCGCATCACATGGCCCAAGTATTAGGGCTTCAGCTTCAGCATCAGTCCTTCCAAAAGAATATTCAGGGTTGATTTCCTTTAGGATTAACTAGTTTCATTTCCTTGCTGTCAAGGGGCTTTTTAAGAGTCTTCTCCAGAGGCTCATGCCCTGAAGTTAAACAGCATGTCTCATTTTATCCTCAGTTATCCCAGGGACAGTCTGGACCAAAGATAAGATAAGGTATCTTAAACCGTTAGGGTTACTCCAGGCAAATGTTCATGGGACCTTCCCCGGAGCGCTTTGAGATCTGTTCCAGCAAACATTTGTTATGCCTCTTGCCACACTGTCTGCACTGCACAAGGCCCTTCAATAAGCTTCTGGGCTCATTTAAACTTCCCAACAACCCAGTGAAACAGGAACTTGGAAATCCATTTGATAAGAATGGAAAATGATGGAGAAGGAAATGGCAACCCACTCCAGTGCCATTCTTGCCTGGAAAATCCCATGGACGGAGGAGCCTGGTGGTCTACAGTCCATAATGTCACAAGAGTCGGACACAGCAACTAAACCAGCACCACCAATTTGTTTTTTGGAACTAAAAGTGTCCATCAAAGTGACAACACTTCAAAGATTTAATTGGAAAATGTTTTAAATTGGCTTTTTCAAACGATAGAGAGAGAGAGACAGAGGTCTCCATCAGTAGGCTCACCTAATGTGCAATGGAGGTTTTCTGGGCTAAGTCTCTGTAAATAGTAACTTCATTAGTTTACCTAAAATAACCATTGCGTCTACTGGTATAAAGGTTTATCTTATTTTCAACAAAATTTAATATAGTTAATGACTAGAACTAATATTAACAATTGACATTAAGTATTTTTCTGGAATTTAAAGAATGCCACTGTTAAAAGAATAGCCTATCAGTTGGTTTTCAATATTTAACCAAAGACATAAAATAAATCTAGATGAAGGCAAAAGAAAAAAAAAAGAGAAAGGAAGGGAAAGTGAGGATCTGGGAACGGAAGGCCCGGCCTCAGAGCACAGAGCTGTCGAAACCGTCAGGCTTCTAGTTCCAGTCCTGTTGTGTGCTGGCTTCTGCTGCTCAGTCAGGCTTTCGTTGGAAAAGGAGTCGGTGCATGACTACAGCCTGCAAAGCCCCCACCAGAGGCACGGCTTGTCCCGTAAGGACACTGCAGTGTTTCTGCCGTCTCCCTTACCTGTTCATGGGTCTTCTCAGCCTCAGGAAACAGAGACTTGAGGAAGAACGACAGCGGCGGGAGGAGGAGGAGAGAAGGCAGTGGCTCCAGTTGCAAATGGCCCAGGAGCGAGCTCGGCAGCAACAGGAGGAGTTCCGGAGGAAATGTCAGGAGCTGCAGAGGAAGAAGCAGCAGGAGGAAGCTGAGAGGGCTGGTGAGAGGCGCTCCGCTCTCTGCAACTCCCTGTATCTGGGACAGAAATATTTTTATCCCCCTGTGGGTGTCCATTTGATTCTCCCCAGTTATTCCTATCCTAGGTCTCAGTGTGAAGCACTCTAAATGGGTAGGCTGATTTTTTTTTTTTCAAAGTAATTGGTAGGTGTGACTCTAGTGAGCTGAGATAGAAGATCAAAATTAGAGAGACTTGTTTGTAGCAATGACTCTTGTGGTCCCAATCAGTGATCTCCTGGAGCGGGGCCCAGCCCCTTGCATTGCCCTTCCGGCATTGCTCAGAAGCTGCCTAAATTGGAGACAGCTCTGCTCCTTGCTTCCTTCCCTAGCAGAAAACAAACACCTGGATGACTGCTGGGCAGCCTTTCAGGAGATGTATGGATTTTCTGTAGCCTCATATTTGAGGAATAGGAAAGTGCTTCAGCAGATGATGCCCCTGTAGAGTGGTCAGACCAGTTGAGTAAGCACCAAGGTTCTCCAGACCCTGCCCTGACGCCTGTCTCCAACCCATCTGCGTACCAGGTTCTGGAAGATTCTTCCCCAAAGTCTTGTGTTAACTGCACAGTGCACTGCACACAGTAGGTACTTGATAAAGGACTCAAGTTAGTAAATGAACTCAGGGTAATACCCACAGAAGATCTGGCAACCAGCTGTCAGGTAAGCCATAGAACATCTCATTGGGAGTCCCTGGGAATCAGACTGACAGTCAGATCAGAGAGTTGTTTTCTCAAATAACGAGACCCCTACTAAGCCTACCTGCTCTTCTGTTCTGCAGAGGCAGAAAAGCAAAGGCTGAAGGAGTTGGAAATGCAGTTAGCAGAAGAGCAAAAGCGCCTGATGGAAATGGCTGAAGAAGAACGGCTGGAGTACCAGCGGCAGAAACAGGAAGCAGAAGAGAAGACTCGGCGGGAAGCAGAGGACAGACGGCAGAAGGAAGAGGAAGCGGCAAGGCTGGCTCAGGAGGAAGCCATGAAACAAGCCCAGGAGCAAGCCAGGTAGTTGACATTTGGACAACAGTTTCAAGAGTGGGATTGTTCAAGGGTTTGGCTGCCCGTTTCTGATACTAGCTTTGAGCTGCCTTTGGACACGTGAAGTTCTCCCACTTCCCATAGCATGGTTTGGAAAAACTGAAAAATAGGGATTCTCCTGCTAAAAAGGTGATAGACTTTTTGATGGCTTAAAGAACTGGCATTGAAGCTAGACGGGGTTTAGAGATCATCTAGCTCAGCCCTCTGCTTCACAGATGAGAAAGCAGTACCAAGACTAGACCAAAGACTCCACCCCCACCCCTGATTCTGAACCACTGCCTTTCTCAGCATGTATTTACTGGGTACCTGTTATGTGCCAAACACTGTTCTGGACACTGGGAACTCAGGATTAAGAAAGACAGACATCTCTTCTCCCATGGCATTTACATTCTAGGGAGGGAGGTGGGGAGACAGACTCTAAACAAAGGTTTTTTAAGTTGTCAATAAATGTTATTCAAAAACTTTTAAAAGGATTGCAGGAGGTTTAGTTTAGACAGGTTGGCCAGGGCAAAACCTTAGCAGAGGTGATATATAAGGGTGAGACCTGAATGACAATGAGTTAGTCACATAAACATGTGGAAGAAAAATATTCCAGGAGGTAAACAGCAAGTACAGAAGTTCAAAGAAAAGAATGAAGCTAGCATGGCAAAAGAATAAAAGAAAAGTTAGCATGGCTGAAATGAACAAGGCACAAGGAATACTTGTAGGTGAGGTCAGAGCGTTAGGCCTTTTTAGTAGAAATAGCTCAGAATCAGCCATCGGGGCCAGCAGCATTTCCCCCCTTTATTCTCTTACAATAATGATTATTACACCTTTCTGACAATAGAATCTCTTTAGTAATGTGCTTTCTATTGACTCCTTAAAAACCAGGTCCTCCATAGTGGCTATTATCATAAATTTCCCCTCCTTAGTGAAAGCAACAAAGTCATCCTCGTTTAGAACTATCACAACTGAAGGGTAAAGAAGTCCAGCAAAGAAAACCATGTGATTCCAATCTTAACTGTAAACAAGTCCCTTGAAATTTATTTTCTACCACTAAAGCTGCATCTAAGCTAATAAATACTCTTCAGGGGACAAGAAAAAAAAAAAAGGGAAGCCAGAATAACTCTATTTCAGGGTTTTCCACCTTACCTTGAGTCGTTCTCCTGGATGTTCCTCAGCTGTTATGGGAATTACAAAATAGATTAAGGGAAGTCTTGATTCAGCTTCAAAATTATGCATTCCACATATCACAACAGTAGGACTGGGTTCATAAGTATTGAAACCAAAAGCAAAGCTATTAGAGTTGCAATTTTCCACAAAGAAACCTGGCCAGAAATACAAGGGGAAATTGAGCTCTTGTGCAACACTAACCCAAGTTGCTTTATAGAAACATCTTCATCTCCACCAAGAATAAGTAATTAAAGGGGTATGTGAAGGGTGTGAAAGAGCCTCATTCCAGCAAATGTTAGAACTTAATGCCAGCTGGCTTGATTTCATCTTCGCTTGTGTGACACTGACCCAGGCATACTTTAACTTTTCTGGCCTGTTTCTCCATCCCTAAGATAATAGAGTCCCTTCATGAATACAAATGTAAGAACTGTTACACCCTTCCTTTTAACATTTCTCGTAGGATCATGATCCTTGAAACCTCATATGTAAAGTTATCGAATGAAGACAACATGACCTTCCACTAAAATGCAAGTCAGTAGCCCCAAGTGTAATGATGATTACTGACATTCTTAGTGAAAATTATTCAACTAGCTTATAAAGACAAATTCTAGGATGCTTTATCAGTGTTGTGATCACGGATATGAATTGTTTCTTAGGCAAAAAGATGCTTTGAAGAAACATCTTCATTTCCACCAAGAACTCCATAAGGAAGCCAGTGGCCTGCAGTGGACACACAACATTTCCAGACCATGGGTCTACTCTTACTTTCAATTCCTACAAATACCAAGACCTTAAGACTAGAAGAAAACTAAAGAGTTGGAAGATGGTAATGGAAAAAGAGAAACTTCCTTCTATAATGAAGTTCCATACTGAGCTCAATTAGTTCCATTTTATCTGGTTCACCTCACTGTACAGCTAAGTTCACTCTAGGACCTCCATCCACACCACTGTCAAGTAGCCAACATGTAGCTATATAAACATAAAACATTCAGTTCTCCAGTCACACTAGTCACCTTTCAAGTGATCAATAACTGAATGTGGCTACTGGCTACAATACTGAACAGCAGATACAGAACATTTTCATCACAAAAAGTTATATTGGACAACACTGTATTCTTGAGCCCTGAAAATTAACCAGCCTTGAGGTTTTGCTCCAAACTGTGCCTTGAAAAATCAGCCACTCACATCATTTCCCCATTTTAAAAATCACACTGGCTCTAGCAAAGTGTCCTGATTAGATAATTTATCTTTAACATCTCTTTAATAACAGTAAGTATCTACTGCTGAATGATCATTAAAGGGGACGAAGAACCTTTAGCAAGTAAGATACATAAAATGATGTCAAAGCAAGCAGTTATCTGAAGCAAAATTTTCCCACAAATTTCCTTTGGCCCTACTCTATACTTCAGTCTGCATTTAAAAATGGAATACTTGCAGACAATTCCCTGGAAATTTCACACTAATGCTCATAAGGTGCTTTCTACAGGAACTGCAGTTCCACAGACCAGAAGTCAAACTCTTGTTTGTACTGCTGTGTTACTGGATTCGCTTAAATTTGATGCTTCAACTCCTTCCTTTGCGTAACACAGAAATAAAATGGCCAACACACTGGCTATCATAGTGAATATGTCACAGTCTTTCTCAAACTTGTCGACTCTACTTGCACATTCATTCATTATTCCGTTGATTCAATGATACTTAGATGAGAAAGGAGCATCTCAAATAATTCAACCAAGAGAAGGAAGAATTGTCAAGGAGAACATCCTTGCGGGGGAGATTACCACTCCTGATTTTATTTTCTCTCCTTTTACAAACTTCAGAAGTTGCAGTCAAGCACCAGGTAGAGCGGCTACACTAAAATGCTATTCGCGGTGCCTTCCAAATCTAATATTCTATTAAACTGTTGCTGTTGAAGGCCTAGTTTATCAAGACTAACCAGATAAGCACATTTTTCAGTTAACCATAGCAGAATGCACAGCATTTAGAAGAATCCAATAAACTAAAACCAAGTATCCCCCATAGCTAAGCTCCACCACCTAAATGCCAAGTTTCAGAGATGCAAACAAACCTAAGATACCAAACTACACATACGCGCTTTCGCGCATTCTGGATAGCTCAAATAGCCTTTCAGGTTTCTCAGGCCTGACAGAAATATGCAACTCAATGAGGACTTTCTGGAAATGGGCTTTATTTCTATTTACTATTTAAAACAATCATCTAAAAGTTCTAATTTACCTAGACTATACATATACAATACAAATAATTTTTCAGGTAGGGTCAAAATAAGAATTTATAAGACAAGCCAATTACTTTTCAACAGGAAATTTGAGAAGGTATTCAAACTATAACAGTTTGCATTAGAGATAGGTTTTATTTGCTCTTCTAAAGTAGCTAGATGACATTCTATTTGGAATAATACCAAATTGGATTACATATGTGCATATATATTCTGAATTCTGTGACTCATTAAGGAGTTAAAAGAAAAAGTTAAGCCCTCTATTAAGGAACTAATTTAGTATTTTAATTTTACAGTTGAAAAGAGGATATAAAGAAATAAAATATAAACCACCTTAACTACAGAGAACATTTTGAAAATTGTTAAGGGAAAAACTGAAATTATCAATATCAATTAAGAATTTTTGGTGTGCCCATTTATTCAACATATTGGGTAACCGTATCATATAAATGCACCATACAGGAATATCAAGTTTTTTAAAAAAACAACAATGAGTATTTAAGAACGTATTGTGACCTTAATTAAATCCTTAATTCTGAAGGCACTTCAGTAACTTTCAGTGCTTCAAAGTCATGATCATCACTGCACAATCGAGAAAAAGAATCTGTACCATGTATGAACAATAATTTCCAGTATGATGCAAAAAAACCTTATGTTTTAAGCATTGTCTTTTTTCTTTCTGTACAATTAAAAATAAAATAAACATGGGTACAGTTTTTACAAATATTTTGTTTATTTTAATGAAGCTGGTACAGACACTGTCCATTTAAAACCCATATCCCAGGCCAAAAAGTACAAATAAAGTCAAAAAGAGCAGTGTTCTGTTGTATACACTTCTGCATGAATAACTTTAACTGCTAATGAAAATTAGATCTTTTCTGGGATCTTCTGACAAGATTTTTCTTTCATCTTAAAATGCTTTCTCTTCAGTGAAGCCATCTTTGGAGTTAGTCATTATTCTCTGTCATTTTGACTCCAACTGGATATTCCTCTTCTTTTGGTCCAGACCCTCAGATTTTAAAAGTAGCTTCAAGTTAAGGAAAGGTCATTTTCCCACAGTTCTGTTTTCAAAAAAACTTCCATCTCCCACTGAAAGTCATAGTCCAGGAGTGAAGCAATCACATGCTAGAACTTCAGGGCCAATTGGAAAGTCATTAGGAACACTTGCATTAGTTGATCTTATTTATCACAAGCCTGCAAATGCACAGTCCTGGAAAAGGCGGGCTCTCTATGCACACATGTAATTTTTAAAAAGGAGAGAGTGATATGAAGGGGGCTGAGGTTTGATCACCAAAAATCAGCACAATGAAAAGAAACAATAATGAATAATGGGCACTAGAATTCAAATTACCAGATGTTTTAAAGAGATGGGGTGCCAGTTTTCAATTCTGTTTTGAACACCACATTACAAAAGAACTATTTTTAAAAATAAAAAAGGATTAAGGGGAAAGAAAAAAAATAAAAAGAATATCTAAACCGTTGAATGACCCCCTGTTTGTTCCTGATAAACTTCAATCACATCTTCTTCCTCCATTCCCAGCTGTAAGAGGAAAGAAAAGTGTTAGTAGTAGAATATAAAAGTACTGTTTTTTTTAACTGGCTGCAATTATGTGGCAACTGTGCAAAAAAGATACAAAAATAATCCATAGTTATCCTGTTATGAAACTAACAATCCTGTTTCCTTTAATCCAAAGAACAGAGAGATATATTCTTTTCTTCTGATACTGTGTCAATATGAAACCATTCATGTTTCTTTGCTGAGCCAACTTCACTTCCCAGTTTATTCACCAGATAAAATTTAAGTGTTTCTGAAAAGTACCTTAAAGGAGTTTTAAATCTAATGAAACATGTATAGAATAGTTTAAGTAATAGTTTGATGCCATATTTTCTAAAAATCATTTTACTTCCAGATGTAATTAATCTCTTTCTTCTTTTTCAAAAAACCTGACTTCACTTGAAATATGTGTGGGTTTTGGCTAGAAAAATACTGTCTAAGGGTTCATTTCTAAGTAGTTTGCTTTGTTATCTACAATCCCTTCTAGAATTTAACTATTATTTTCTTTGATAGTGACCACTCTCAATGAAGAGTTATTATACATCTACTTTTGACACTTCCAATTCTATAGGCTTGATTTTTCAGGCCAATTCTCAATTCTTACAGAAAAGAAAAAAAAAAAGAGACCCTTTAAAATGCCTTTTACAGAACATTAAGCAAAATATACGCAATTTTTTTTTCATATGCATGAAGTATTCTGGAATGTTTTTCTTAAAGACATTATTAATAATGGTTGCTTCTGAGAAATGGGAATGCAGAGATATCCAGAGTGTATTTTCCACTTTATATATTTTGGTAGTTTGGTTTTTTAATACTTTTATTTTTAACTACAAGTATTCTTCATTTAAAAAATAAAAGTGTACAGAAGGGGGCTGGTGTTGCATAGAAACCCACAGAAGCCTCAATGAGGCTTGTAAAGAACTGCAAATCTGTTGATTCTGGTGTGCAGCCAGGGTTAAAGAACACTGAAACAGGCAGACTGAAAACAAAAATCAGCACTGTTTCCAATGAACTACAGTGAATCACAAAAGCAAATGAAGAATATCAGTTCAAAGGAAAGTTCAAGTAATCTCTAATGAGATAAGTTCTATATTTTATACAGAACAATTCTGTGCAGAATTACAAAATGTGAAACTTAAAATATGCTAAGAAATCTAAAAATAAGTGGATTTAATTGGTTCTGGTGTCATGGATATCTTGACTGTGATAAAACATATGAATTAATTAAAATTATTAATTAAAGATGCTATTAAAATTTAATTGTACACATAGCCTGGTAAACACTGCAAGGACTAGAATTCCAAACATTACAAGGAACCTTTTGAATTGGGAAGGCAGCCTATGTCCTTAAACTATGGTGGATATGAAGCTATCAGCTTTAAGAAGTACATTAGCAGATAACAGTAAAAAAACAACAGTACAAAGAGGTCACTCCCTAAATACCACTCTCTCCCACTGCCCCATTATTCTTCTAAAAAGATAAATCTCTTAATGACAGTAAGGGAAGTGTCACTAAGATGTATTAAATAACCTTCTGTGTTGCTGAGATTATGCCAAGCTTTTGCTGTTTAGTCACTGAGTCTGACTCTGCAACCCTGTGGACTGCAACATGCCAGGCCTCCCTATCCCTGTGCCTTAGCCCAGTTAAGACAGGGAAAACATAAAATGAGTTTGGAATATCTTGTGCCAGACAGTAAGGAAGTACTCAAGAAGGTAGGTGGATACTAAACCTACAGGGGAAAGTTTGATGAGCAAAAGGATAGTCACATAGTTTCAAAGTATGTGCCCACATATTACTCAATTACAACAGGAAAAATAGTTAACTACACAGGGAAAAAAAATGGTAACTGTTAAACCAGTGATAAAGGACTTCAGATACTCCAGATATTACAGCCTGCGAAAGACACATCACCATTTACATAGTAAAACAGTCAAACACACATGATCCAAATCTAGTCATAAGTTAACAGAAGAGCCCAAATTGAGAGACTTTCCGGAAAATAACTGGTTTGTATTCTTCAAAAATGTAAATGTCATGAAGACAAAGAAGGGTGAAGAACTGTTCCAAGTTAAAGATAATTAAAGTGAAAATGAAAGTCGCCCAGTCATGTCCGACTCTTGCGACCCCATGGACGATAGCCCACCAGGCTCCTTCCTGTCCGTGGGATTCTCCAGGCAAGAATACTGGAGTGGGTTAGCCGTTCCCTTCTCCAGAGGATCTTCCCAACCCAGAGATCGAACCCAGGTCTCCCACATTGCAGGCGGATTCTTTACCAGCTGAGTCACCATGTGTTCATACTGAAATGGATCCTGTGATGAGGGAGAAAACTTATTATAATAAGGGAAAATTGGGACAAATGACAAAATAGTATTCTAACAGTATTAAGTGTACTGAATTTTAATAACAGTACTTTGGTTATGTAAAAGAAAATACTTGTTCTTAAGAAATACACACTAAAATATTTAGCAAATGGCCATGGTGTATGCAACCCACTCCCAAATGGTTCGGATGATATGTACACACACACATATCGGGGGAGGCGAATAACAAAGTACAGGTAGCAAAATGTTAAAAACTGATAAATCTAGGTAGAAGAGAGTACAATTTTTTGCACTATTCTTGCAACTTTTCTGTAATTTGAAAATCATCATAAAACAAAAACTTTTTAAAAAGATGGAGGGATGTCAGAACAAATGTCAACTTGAATGGGTTCCCACCGGCTAATATCTAAAGAACATCACTCATACAAAGTATCTCCCCACAAATTACTTATTAATTACAAAATAACTTGGATAAATTGATACAATGATACAGTGGATAAAATGTTACAATGGATAAAATATCTGGCAGTTACCATCTTAACTAAGTGACCAAAACTAGTATTACCCATAGTAAGACATGGACATCATCTAATTCCTGACATGATACACTTGGAATTTCACAGCTTCACTCAAGTGTTGCTCCTACCAAATGCTCAAACCTGAATCTAATCATGAGGAAACAACAGATAAACCCCAACTGAAGGACATTCTTTTTTTTAATTAATTTATTTTAATTGGAGGCTAATTACTTTACACGAAGGACAATCTAAAATACAGTTGGCCTGAATTCTTTTTAAAAATGTCAGTGTAATGAATCAGTCAGTCCTAAAGAAATCAACCCTGAATATTCATTGGAAGGACTGATGTTGAAGCTGAAGCTCCGACACTTTGGCCACCTGATGCGAAGAGCTGTTCACTGGAAAAGATCCTGATTCCAGGAAAGACTGAAGGCAGGAGGAAAAGGGGACCTCAGAGGACAAGATAGTTGGATGGCATCATCAACCCAACAGACATGAGTTTGAGCAAACTCCAGGAGACGGTGAAAGACAGGGTAGACTGGTGTGCTGCAAGACTGTTGTGTGCAGGGGCCACAGAGTTGGACACAACTTAGCAACTGAACGACAACAGTGTAATGAAAAACGAAGACCGAGTAACTGTTTCATATGAAAAGGAAGCTAAGAGGCATGGCAACCAGTTAGAATGCATATCCTGGATGAGATCCCAGGTTAAGTTAAAAAAAGGCAGGTGAGCTATAAAGGAACTTACTGAGACGAATTGCAAAATCAGATTACTTTGATTGTATATTCAATTACAGTATTGTATCAAGGTTAAATCACCTAAATTAGATAATTTAACTGTGACTCTTAGGAGAACAGTAACAATGAAATATTGAGGGGTAAAGAGCCATGTAATCTGCAAATTAATATCAAATGGTCCACCAGTAGTGATAATCTGTACATACAGAGAGAATGATATATCAAACACAGCACAACGTTAATAAATGAATAGCCTATGAAAAAGGTTATACCGGAGATTATACTAGTCTCATCATTCAATAAGCTTGAAATGTTTCCAAATAAAAAAGTTAATAATAACCATATATCATTCCCACTATCAGAAATATAAGAAATGTTATTTTTTATTCAGAGGAGGGGAATCTGCAAAAGTGTAAATACACACATGCTCTTTTTCTCACATTTTATTACTTTCAGATATCTGGGGGTAGGAGTGAGAATGAGGGTAGAGAGGGTGGAATATATAAACAGAGAAATAAAACAATATATTCAATAAAACAAACGAAGGCACAGAGCATTAAAAATCATAACCCAGAACGACAGAGCCAAAAATATACACTAAGCTTCTCTATTAAGTGCTCAAAATGGGCCAAGAGGCAAAACTGAACTCTGAAGGTCACTGTCACCATGAAAATGCACCCGAAATCTGCCAAATCTGAGAACCATCTGTCCATCCTTAAAAATGCATAGTATGTGCCTTATAACAACTTAAATACTCAATCCCTACTTTTCAACTCTTTTTACTGGCATGTTTGGAGGCACTAAAAGGGAAATTCAACCCAAAAGATTGTTTTTCTCTCTGAAAAATAATATATCACTTAACTCAGGGAATATTCAAGAAAAGGGCAGTTTAATGGTACCAGCGAACCACATCATTCAATGCAAAATTCAAAATATGTCTTGAATTCAGAGAAGAAATTATACTCACTTCTTTTGGAGTGTGATTATCAGCAATTCTCTGACCTTCAAAGAGAAACCTGAGTGAATTCATGGGAACTCCCTAAAAAGACAGAAAATGTACAAATACAAACCTTAGAAGAGATAACAGAAACTTTGATGCACTAAAAGCAAATATGAAAGCTTCAACACAATGTGTAGAACATAAAACTAGACAGCTAATTCTATCACCATTATCATTAACTGAGTAAAAACTATTTGCCAGGTACTCCTGATACCAAATATTTTATATACATAATCATGAATTTTTCATCACAACAGGCCTAAAAGGTAAGTATTATCACCTTATCTTCATTTACAGCTAGAGAATCTAAGGTATAGACAGGATCCACAAGCTAGTCAAGAATTAAAGGCCAAATCCTAACCCTGTGCATTCTTAACCACTATTCTATATAGTTTCCTCTCAAACCTATAAGCTAACATAAAAATAAAATCGGATACTGGATGAGTACCAGCTACCAACTGTACAAGCAAAATTGGTTTTAAACAGACTAAATCACAGAAATTTGGTAAAGCCCAGCAGCAAGCCAGATAAACCACAGTAAACCGGTGATGGCAGTTATAGCTCTGTAAGTGTCACAAAAGGCGTTAAAATATATTTTTCTAATCACTTATTCCACAAAAATAGCTAAGAGAACAGATGGCTCGTTTAAAGAGACGTAACTTCACTAACAAGTATAAATCAAGAATCATTTATCTAGTCCACAAGTATCAGAAAGTTCTGCTCAATAACTAATGTGTTAAGATTTCTGCCATGTTTAAATACTATCCCAAAAACATCATAAAAAACTCAAACTATCTTCCCAATATGTACTACACTTACATATACAAGACCGTGCAAGCTTACCCTGTAGGTGGTTTTAAACTTTTTCTTCGTTCCCTGACCAGGGGTTGAAGCTGGGCCCCAGCAGTCAAACTGCTAAGTCCTAAGCACTGAACCACCAGGAAATTCTCTACTTTTAAACTATTTCCAGGGTTATATTAACTAATAAACATAACTGACAAGGACAAAATATTCTTTGATTTTAAATACAGGATCTTTCAAAAAGTAAGTATCTTATATTGGAGTCAAAAAAGTTTCTACAGAAGCAAGTCTATAACATCAAAATGGAAAAATGACTCAATCTCTCTTGTTGGGTAAGAATTCCATACTTTAAGAAAAAATTAAGTGTCCTACTGCGTGTATATCAGCAAATATAAGAAAAAAATTTATCAAGCTGTTGTGAACTGAGCATAAAAACTTTTTCTAAAGACTGTAAACTCCGAAGCATAAAAAAGAAAGTTAAAAATTATTCCAACTTGATGTTATATTATCTCCCCTAGCACGTTAGGGCTTCCCTGGTAGCTCAGTTGGTAAAGAATCCACCTGCAATGCAGGAAACCTGGGTTTGATCCATGGGTTGGGAAGATCCCCTGGAGGAAGGCATGGCAACCCACTCCAGTATTCTTGCCTGGAGAATTCCGTGGACAGAGGAGCCTGGTGGGCTAACGTCCCTGGGGTCGCACATGTCAGACACGACTGAGTGACCAAGCGCAGCACAATAACTTCAATCCTTAATCAGTTTAGTTTTCACTTCTGCACTGTTCCTCCTCAATAATCAACTCCATCGTCTACAAATGAGGTAAAAGACTGCATATTTTCTTTGGAGTTATTGTCAAGAATAAACGACAATGTATCTAAGTACCTATTAGCATAGTGCAGTTAATACATGCTCATTTCTAGTTTTAGTTCCCATCAATATTATTACAAATGTGAGCTAGTTGAGCCTCAATTAATAAGACATTACTGAGCTTAACAACTAACATCAAAAACATAAACAGGGAATTCCCTGGCAGTCCAGTGGTGAGCACTGAACTTTTACTGCCAAGGGCATAGGTTCAATCCTTGGTCCAGGAATTAGGATCCCACAGGCCACGCAGCACAGCAAAAAACAAAAAAACAAATGTTTATCGGCTCACTTATCCTAACACTGGAGTGGGCAGCCAGTCCCTTCTCCAGGGGATTTTCCTGACCCTGCAGGGATAGAATCTAGGTGTCCTGCCTTGCAGGCAGATTCTCTACTGTCTGAGCCACCAGGGGAGGCCCCTGTTTTCCTTATCCCAACACCTAAATGATCTCTTTTTCTTCTTGCAAAGTCCTAAATACTAGACCACGAGAGAATTCCCAAAAGATTACTTTTCTTTTGACAAGCTTTCTTAAAAGAAAAATTAATGATATATAAAGCACTCAATTTAACACAACATACAGACCTGTCTTTGACAGTATGATTCTTTGAGTTTCTTGAGATGTGTCGTCATTTTCACTTTGAAGTGAATCTCACTGCTATCCTAAGGAGATAAGAGGAAAAGAATTATCACTCTTTGAGTAAGTTACTTGCTTTGCCTGAAACCAATTATTTAATTACACATATGCTACACACAAAAACATACAACTTTTCACTTATATTTTCCCTCCAAAATATTCTTTTTAGCATTCCTAACAGGTTTTTTAAAATAATCATCCTCGCTCTCTTTTGCTCAGGCCAGTGGTGCCGGCAGGATGGGCAAGTGTCGCGGTCTTCGTACTGCCAGGAAGCTCCGTAGCCACCGACGAGACCAGAAGTGGCATGATAAACAGTACAAGAAAGCCCATTTGGGCACAGCCCCAAAGGCCAACCCTTGTGGCGGCACCTCTCACGCCAAGGGAATTGTGCTGGAAAAAGTAGGAGCTGAAGCCAAACAGCCAAATTCTGCCATCAGGAAGTGTGTCAGGGTTCAGCTAATCAAGAATGGCAAAAAAAAAAAATCACTGCTTTTGTACCCAATGATGGTTGCTTGAATTTTATTGAGGAAAATGATGAAGTTCTGGCTGCTGGATTTGGTCACAAGGGTCATGCTGTTGGTGACATTCCTGGAGTCCGCTTTAAGGTTGTCAAAGTAGCCAATGTCTCTCTTTTGGCTTTATACAAAGGCAAGAAGGAAAGACCAAGATCATAAATTTTGATGATGAAAGCATGATAGTGATAAATTTTCATATACACAAAAATAAAATAAAATAAAATAATCATCCTCAAAGTTGCTTTATACCCATTTCAAAGCAAGTTTCAGTCCAGTTCAGTTGCTCAGTCATGTCCGACTCACTGAAACCCCATGAACCACAGCACGCCAGGCCTCCCTGTCCATCACCAACCACCAGAGTCTACCCAAACCCATGTCCATTGAGTCAGTGATGCCATCCAACCATCTCATCCTCTGTCGTCCCCTTCTCCTCCTGCCCTCAAACTTTCCCAGCATCAGGGTCTTTTCAAATGAGTCAGCTCTTCGCATCAGGTGGCCAAAGTATTGGAGTTTCAGCTTCAACATCAGTCCTTCCAATGAACACCCAGGACTGATCTCCTTTAGGATGGACTAGTTGGATCTCCTTGCAGTCCAAGGGACTCTCAAGAGTCTTCTCCAACACCCCAGTTCAAAAGCATCAGTTCTTCAGTGCTCAGCTTTCTTTATAGTCCAACTCTCACATCCATACATGACTAGTGGAAAAACCATAGCCTTGACTAGACAGACCTTTGTTGACAAAGTAATGTCTCTGCTTTTTAATATGCAGTCTAGGTTGGTCATAACTTTCCTTCCAAAGAGTAAGTGTCAAAACATAATCTATTTTAGATATTAAAATTAGCAGTATAAGTATGTATGTAAAAAAATGCATTTCTTCAGAATTGCATACCTATTCTATTTTCAAAATAAAAATCTAAACTATCACAAACTCCCAAAGGCAACTCAGAATAAATATAACCAAAGTGTCATTAAAGATGGTCAAAGCTATAAGAGCAACGTATACTGTAAAACAGCAGACTGAGACAATTCTTCTGCTATAAAAAGTCACCATACAGAGTCTGGTTTCTCTTGCATGGATAAAATAAATAACCTGAGTCACTCAAACTGAAATATGGGACCACAGATCATTTTCTTCTACCGAGACTGTCAGGTAAACTATCAGGCAACCATCAGAAAAAAATATTGGTACTTACACACTATAAAAACTTCAAAGTCAATTTTAATGATTACATAACACATTCACAGATACATATTAGCAGAAGTTGCATGTTTTGTTTATAATTTTAAAAAAACAAAAAGCAATTCCCTGGCAGTCACTCCAACGGTTAGGACTTGGTGCTTTCACTGCCAGGACTGGGTCTGATCCCTGGCTGGGGAACTAAGATCCTGCATGCTGTGTGGTATAGCCAAATTTTCTTAAAAAATAATAATAAATAAAAATAAATTCTCATCGTGTGGATAATTTCAGGAACAGACAAAATTTCTAGAGCAATACCTCACTCCATCAGCTAAAATCATTTCCAGATGAAATAAAGAGCTAACGTTAAAAAATTTTTTTAGTATGTTCTCTTCTTTGGGAAAGACTTTTCTCCTAATCTTGACATTAGTAAATCCTTACTTTAAAGCAAAATTTTAACTCAGAAACCATTTTAAAAAAAGAAGACTGATAAATCCAACTTAATAAAAACATAAATCACCTATAAGTAAGTTAAGAGACTCTGAAGAAAATATTCACAACATATATAGCAGACAAGAAAAATTAAGTAAATATAAAGAACTCCTACAAATCAGTAATTGTTAAAAAGGTAATCCATGGCATAGGAGAGACATACACAAGCATACCTACTTTACTACACTCTATTTTTTTTTTTTAATTTGGCTATGCCAGGTCTGCTGTGGTGCACAGGCTCTTCAGTTGTGGCATACATACGGGATCCCCAGTTCCCTGGCCAGAAACGAAGCTGTGCCCCTGCACTGGGAGCAGAGTCTTAGCCATTGGACCACCAAGGAAGTCCATGTGCTTTCTTCATTGAATTTTGCAGGTGCTGCGTTTTGTACAAATTCAAAGTCTGTAACAAGCCTGCAATCAGCAAGTCTGCCCGCACCATTTTTCCAATGGTGTCTGCTCATTTCAGGTCTCTGTGTCACGTTTTGGTAATTGGTAATTTGGTAATTCTCTCAGAATTCAAGTCCTACCCCAGCAAAAAAAGCTCACTGGAGGCTCAGATGATGGTTAGTACTTTTCAGCAATAAAGTACTTTTTAATTAAGGTGTGTACATTTTAACGCTATTATACACTTAATCTATAGTGTAAACATAACTTTCATATGCACTGGGAAACAAAAGATCCATGTGATTCACTTTATTGCAGTGGTCTGGAACCAAATCCTCAATATTTCTGAAGTATGCCTATAAATAAACAATAAAATTGAGAGTCCAGAAATAAATCCATATATATCTACAGTCAACTTATTTTGACAAAGACGCCAAGCAATTCAATGGGAAAAGAACAGAACTTTCAACCAGTGTTCTGGGAAAAACAGATAGCCATATTCAAAAGAAGTTAGACTCTCCTTCAAACCCATACTAAAATCATGCAAAAAGTACTCAAAATGATCAAAAACTTAATGTAAGAGCTAAAACCATAAAAACTTTAAAAGACTCTATAGGTGTGAATTTTTGTGACCCTGACTTAGGTAATAGTTTCTTATACATGACACTAAAATCACAACAAGAAAAGAAAAAAATAGGGATTTCCTTGGTGATCCAGTGGCTAACAATCTGCCTGCCAATGCAGGAGACATGGGTTCAATCTCTGGTCTGGGGAGATTCCACATGCCAAGGAGCAACCAAACCTGTGTGCCGCAACTATTGAGCCTGTGCTCTAGAGCCCGGGAACCACGGAGCCTGAGCGCCCAGAGCCCATGCTCCGCAACAAGAGAAGCCAGTGCAATGAGAAGCCCACGAAGCACACAAAGAAGCCCCCTCATGGCAACTAGAGACAACCTGTGCAAAACAACAAAGACCCAGCACAGCCAAAAACTTTTTAAAAAGATAAATTCAATTCACTGAAATCAAAAACTGTTTGTGCAAAGGACACAACCCAGAAAGTGAAAAGACAACCCAAAGATGGGAGAAAACATCTGCAAACCACCTAACTGATAAGGATCTAATATCCAAAATACATGTGAAAAGTTACTAGAACTCAAAAATAAAGACAAATAATCCAATCTAAAAACGGACAAAAGATCTGAATAGACACATTCCTCCAAAGATGTGCAAATGGCCAATAAGAACAAGAAAAGATATCCATTATTAACCATCAGGAAAAGACAAATCAAAAACACAATGAGATACCACTTCACACTCACTAGGATGACTATATATATTTAAAAAAGAAAAAAGAACAACAAATACTGGGTAAAATGTAAAATAACAAATCTTCATTTATTGTTGTTAAGAATAATGTATAAAATAATGCAGCCACTGCTAAAAGTTGTTTGAAGACTCCTCAAAAAGTTAAAACAAAGTTACTACTATATTACACCCAACAATTCCACTCCTACATATATAGAGAATTGAAAACACAGCCACACAAAAATTATAATGAATATTCAAAGCAATATTATCACACTGGCCTAAAACTGAAAGGTTGATATAATAATATCCCATGTTTCAGAGAATGTGGGAAGATGGTACTCTCACACCTCCATGGTAAGAGTATACTAGTTCTTCTGTCCCTTAAAAAAACAACTATGAAGCTTCATTCCTCCACTAATTTCCAGCTAACCTTTATTATCTATTAGCATCTCAAAAGAGGTCAATAAGGTAAAGATCAGAGTCTGGAGAAATAAGGTGCCAAGAGAGAGAAAGGGGTCAGGAAAAGGCCTGAGAGGCCCTTTTGAGTAAGGCCTCTAGCGTTATCACTATAGCAGTCACTGTGTTTGCCACCGAAGCATGCTAAACAAGAAAAAGTTCTAGCAGAAGACATTAAAGTGGTAAGTTGCCTAGTAGAGCAATTTAAAAATACAGTATCACCCTCTCCTACCTCTAACAGATGCGCATACAGTGAATGAAACTCCACTTTTCAATATCTTGCCTTAGTTGAATCATTTTTTCTGTTTTCAGAAATCATTCACACATTCCAGAGTCAAAGGAGAAAAATAATGAAACTCACCTGTCCAATGACTTTGAGTTTAATATATTCTCCTTCCTTCTTATCCCCCAAGTCCTCGGTTGAAGGTTTTGCTTCCTGAAAGTACATATAAACATAAAAGTTTCTATGTGCTATTTTAATTACTCATCCATTACTTTGACTTAGGGTACAAAATTTGCACCTAAAAATACAGCAAGCATTTATTTTCTCTGCCAATCAAGCAAAAAGGATTCTAAGTCAATTACTCTCTCAAACAACAGTTCACTAAAAATCAAGAAAGAAGTCTCTTTTATTATAATCCTACAGTAAGGGTTCTAAAACTTCACCATGCATCAGAATCACTGGAAGGACTTGTTAAAAGGCGGCTGGGTCTCATACCCAGCTTTTTATTCAGTAGGTCTCTGGCAGGGCTGTAATATGCACTTCTGACTAATTACCAGGTGGTACTAATGCTTCTGGGCAAAGGAACAACCTGGAAACCATTATCTTACAGTCGACTACTATCAGTCAAGAGGAAGCTCATCCTCCAGGAATCCTTGACCAAACATTTTAAATCCAAGATTATTTTCTTACAACCTATTGGGAAAAATTAACTACTCCAATTACAAACCTGTACTAAGAAATATAATCATATTAACATAAGCAAAGTCTTTTTAGGAAGGAAAATCAAATGGCAAAGTACTGGCTTAATGTACTCGAGTCAAAACAAATCATTTTGTATCAGTTATTATTTTAGACTATCTGAAACACTGTATCCAATTTCAAAAGATTAGGCTTGGGTGAAAAAAACTTAGCAGAATTAAACTGGAACAAGAAAAAAGCCCACTCAGGGTAAGTATTATTAGGAAAGAGTAAACAAAATTGGAAGACAGAAGGAAAGAGTATAACCCTCTTACAAATTATACCATAAGAGAATGAAGTTGGAATAAACTAGTGGAAACAACTTTGCGCTGAAGTACTCAGAAAGGCAGGCCATTTTTAGTAAAAGGGTAACTTGGTAAATTTCACTCAATGGTGTGATAAAAGTAGCTTTCCCATGCACTTGCACTTTACCTTAGTTTGGCAACCATATTATTCACTTATTTAAATATATACTTCTTTATTCTTCATAGTAATTTCAAGCTGTTAATCTACTCTTTGTAAGAACTGTTGTCATTTAGCCGCTAAGTCATGTCTGACCCTTTGCAAACCCATGGACTGTGGCCCTCCAGGTTCCTCTTCCCATGGGATTTTCCACACAAGAATACTGGAGTGGGTTGCCATTTCCTTCTCCAGATCTTCCTCACCCAGGGATCGCACCCGAGTCTCCTGCATTGGCAGGTGGATTCTTTACCACTAAGCCCCAGGGAAGCCCTTTGGTAAGAATATAACCAACTTACTTAAGAATATACAATAAGAATTTTGTATACTTAAGAACATACAATCAGAATATTGTATATTCTTAACAACTTAAGAATATACAATACCTCTGTACTTCAGAAGTAACAGGGCCATTTTCATGCCAATAACTGAAAACTAACAAACTCTTTAACATTCATATTTTAATAAATATATTAAACTAGAAGTAGCTTTTAAATTTAAGATACAGGCTAGAATCCAGGGAAATGCTTAGATAACAGAACTGACTTCATTAGTGTGAATTCTTGCCTGTTTATCATTCTGCAGTACTTTCAACATTTGCTGACTACTGCATGTTATGGCAGCTGGCAAAATTAACCTTCTTTAGTGAGACAGCATTTCACCTGAAAACTAGAAGACGGTCTTCAAACAGTCGCACAACCACACTTCTCTGAGTTTATATTCAAAGCAAACAATTCCTTCTTCCGTTGAGCACTGAGAGAGGACAAGGACAATTCATCCCATGCAGTGAAAGGAACGAAGAGCAAAGAAGCCCTGCGTCCTCTTTAACTGAGAGAAGGTGTGTTACAAAGCTTTATCTGAGTTTCCACGAGGAGGAAAACATCCGCCTCCAAGAGGATCAGCGCTACATCAGCACAATGGGACTGCCTGTGCGCCAGTGTTTCCTAGACAGAGGATACTCGGAACAAAAGAGTTCTTCCCTCTTCTCCAGTCCTTCCTCCACACTGCTTCAGAACTCTTTCCAAAGCACAGCTCCTCTGACTGTATGTTTGTTTGCCTGCACTCAGTCATGTCTGACTCTTGACGACCCCTTGGATTGTATGTAGCCCGCCAGGCTCCTCTGTCCATGGGATTCTCCAGGCAGGAATCCCGGAGTAGCCTGCCATTCCCTTCTCCAGGGGATCTTCCCAACCCAAGCATCAAACCTGCGTCTCTTGTGTCTCCTATGTCTCCAAGCAGGTTCTTTACCACTAGCGCCACCTGGGAAGCCCCCTCTGACTGTATAACTACCCCTATCAGAAAGCATTAACAGCTTCCAGTACTTTAAGGCCCAGAAACAAAGTCCACAACACAGCGTTCAGTTCCTCCAGTACAACCTTGACTCCCATTTTTCTCTCACCACTTTCTTTACAACCCAAGGATGTGGTTAAATTGGACCCTGTGCGGTTCCCCGAACGTGTCTATAAACTTCCTTCCATCTTCAGCCCTTTGCCGTCCTTGTCTCCTTCACCTGTAATACACATCCTCCCTTCACCACAACCTCTCTTGACAGCATCTCACAGAAATCCACCCCACACATCATCTGAAGTCCAGTATGCACAGAACTCTTCTGGGAACCACACCTCCCCTCAACTCTCTAATTGGGATTGACATTTTCCTTTAATGCTCCTATTGGCAGTGCATTCATAGCCTTTAAAAGGAGTTTATTCTCAATTTAAAAACAATCTCCCTTTACTATCATCTCAAGTTGTCCTCACATTTTTCTTCAGATTTCTTGTAAGAGTACTCAGCATTTGCTATTTCCACTTTTACTGTCAACTCACTGCCATCAGGTTTATATAATACCCCACCATTCCACTTGACACTTCTCTCACCAAGGTTACCAGTTCAACTCCTAACTGCTAAACCAAAGGACAATCTAAAGTCTTATCTTTAAACAACAGACACTGACGACTCCTTCAAACTCTCTACCTTTGGCCTCTTAAGATTCTACTGTCCCCTTATCTTGACCACTTCCTTAAATGCTGGTGCTCTTCTGGGTCCTAAGTCTTTAAGCTTTTTTTTTTTTGGCTTCCTAGGTGACCTACAATTCCAGCTCTCTCTCAGATACTAATGACTCACAACCATCTCAATAACCTGACCACTTTTCTGAGTTTCACTCAATTTACCCAAGAGCTTGAACATTTATCTCCACTCTGGATTTCTCCATGGGAAGTTCAACTTAAGTGTCCGAAACTGAGTGCATTACTTCTAGCTCCTCTTCCTGAAAACCAAAACCCAAAAAAAACTACAACTCCTCCCGGATTCCCAATTACAATAAACGTTTAACACACACTCAAATGCACACAACAGAAATTTAGTAGTCATCATTGGCTATCTTCCTCTCTTAAATCTCACACTTAGTAATTCACCATTCTGACAACTATATCTCTTAGTGACTCTCATTCTCTATTCCACTGCCTTATTTCAGGCGGTCACTGTTGCTCATTAGCAATACCACAATGGCGTAACAGACGCCCCAAGTCTAGCTCCCTCCAATTAGTTCTTCCCAGCTACAACCAGAGCCATCTCTCTCAAACGCGATCTGATCTGCCCAGAATCTTCAGGATTAAGTTCAAACTCCTTAGCTGACACATACTCTTCCTCCATGTGCTGCTCCCTGCCTAGCAGTCAAGCCTTGTTCTCCTACCTCTCGTGCTAACGACATTCTCTGCTCCAGCCATACTGAACTATCTCCAGCTCTTTACACATGGCACTCTCCACCTTACCTCCACTAACCCTGTGCACGCTATTTTTCTCACCTCTGCCTGGCGTGCCCTTTCTTTCCCTATTCCCCTTTTAAGACCACTCAAGCATCACTTCCTAGAAAATCATTTCCCTGATCACCCTCTTAAATGTTCTCATACTGCTTACTTTATTATAACCACATGTCTGCATATCTGTGTTTCCCACAAGACTGAGTTCCTTACTGACATGCCTTATTCTTTGTATTTCTGGTCAAGTACAGTGTCTAGTATTTTAAAGATACTCAATGTGCTTGTTAAATTAACATATTCTGTGACAGTTTTGTATGTCTTGGCTTTCCTACAAGTTTACAAGGAGGAGATCCACGTTTTTCACCTTTATAGTCTCTATACTGACAGACACCAGGCAATTATTTAACGCTGGCTGAATTAAGTTAACAGCACTATCATCTGTATCATACCACAAAATCTTACTAGTGTTTCATACTTCTACCATACACAGCAGTCAATACAAACAAAATCCTTTTAGCATTTTATATTCACAGTTGGGAAGAAGAGGTAATTCACTTCAATTTCACAAGAACATGTGAACACTAGAATTTGAAATTTCCCAAAATATTGCCACTTTCCTTAGTCACTCCATTTTGGCAATCTCTTCCCAACTCTGAAGCACCAGAGCAATGCCATCTGCACCCACTTGTTTAATAGCCTCATGCTTGCCCAATGCAGTCATCTAACTTTTCATGTGCCTTTTCTCCTTCAACAAACTAGTCTGGAAAAGGAGAAGATCTTGTACAGAAAAAGGCCACAGTTTGTCTCCAGCGATCTCAGTGTCTTTTGTATGCCTTCTTTCCTTCTCTCCCCTGTTTAAAAAAAAAAGGAGCTGCCGATACAGAATGGTACGGCACACCAGTCACACAACACTGAAAGCATTCAGCACTGGGCCTGGAGCAGTAGGTCATCAGAGAAAAGAGAACCCCAGAAAGGGCTGGCTGATTCAGCTGGGAAGGTTACACAGCCCCAGAGCAGAAGAAACTGGCAATGCAAAGAAAAGGAAAGGAACGTGCAAGATCAAAGGCAAGAACTGTGTCATCTAGAGATTGAATCATGGTAACTAGAATGGGAGGAAAGAATGTATCAGACACCAGGCACTATCAACTCTTCTTACTAAGATATAAATGTAACAACCTAGAAATAGAAGATGCTGGATCTGAAAAGATGAACAAGGCAGGAAGGACACAAAACACAACAATCCTCGTTTACAAATGCACA